GGTGGGGGAGGCAGGGGATCTGGAGGATCCTAGGGAGGCGGTTTCTAAACCTGGCGAGAAGACCAAAGTAGAGGGGACTTGGGGCCAGGGATTCCTGGCAGAGCAAGGGCTGATGCTGGGGCACTAGAGACCACATCATCTGATGTGTCACTGTGCCGGCCGTGATCAGAATACGCTCTGAGTGTTTGAATTTAAAACGTGTGTTACAGTAAAAGGAACACTGCCATCACGCCCCCTTGAAATCTTCCCTCTGGCTTCACACACACTCATCCCATTGTTTTGCCACTTTCTGAAGCAGTTCTGGAGGAACCCTTTCCTGAGTGTCTGTGTGTTGTGTGGTGAGTGCTCCTGCCGAGCGCCACCCCACAGAAAGTCAGCGCAGAAAAACACGGCTGCATCCCCGTCCACCTATCCACTGGATCTGGCACCGTGGGACCTTGGGCTCCTACCCAAAGTCAGAGTGACCACACATGGGAAATGTTTTCAGTCGATTCAGGACATCCAGGCAGCCACAACAGTGCAACTAAAGACCCTCGGGAAGGAGCACTCCAGGGCTGCCGCGGGAAGTGGCGAGGACGATGGGATCAGTGTGTTAAAAATAAGGGAGTCTTTTGGGGGATTCATGAGAATGTGTCTCACTGTAATACATTTCTTACATTTAAATACTCACCACATTTTTCAGTCACACCTCATACATGTGGGTAAACCAAGGCCCGCAGTTCTGCTCACACAGCCAGCAGGAGCGCCAGTTATCTGGTGCTGTTTATAAAGGTGGGGGTGTGGGGGTGCGGGAGCCGTGCCAGCTTTGCCGTGGGGACCCTGGCCCTGACCCGTTGTCACCCACAGGTGCCCTGGAGATCCGGCAGGCGCTCCCCATCCACGCCGGCCGCTACACCTGCACAGCCCGCAACGTGGCCGGCGTGGCCCGCAAGCACGTGGTCCTCACTGTGCAGGGTGAGGGTCTGGCTGGGTCCCAGGCAGGGGATCAAGTGGGGCTGGGCAGGGAGGGTCCCGGGTACCCAGATCCCGCTCCCATGGTGCGGTGGGGAGCATCCTCGGGAGAGAAGACCTGGCCCTGTGGCCTTAGACATGTGGTCTGAGGGTGTCTCCAGGGACCTCTGTCCTGTGTCCCCAGCCGCCCCCGTGGTAAAGCCGCTGCCCAGGGTGGTTCAGGTGGTGGCGGAGGAGGAGGTGCTACTGCCCTGTGAGGCCTCAGGTGTCCCCCGGCCCACTGTCACCTGGCAGAAAGAGGGGCTCAGCGTCCCTGCAGGTGAGGCACTGCAGCCGGTGGGGGTGGGGACTCCTCCTCCCAGAAACCCTGGCCCCCCTACCTGCCCTGAAGCCCCCGCAGGCTGTTGAGAGGCCCCACAAAGCCCACCTGGCCCCTACCCTAGTGCCCCAGCCTGAGACCCCTCGGCGCCCAAGGGCGGAGCTGGAGGTCACATGGACAGGCTTGGCTGCTGACCAGGCCTCCTGGTTACTCTTGTTGGTCGTTCCGCAACCCCAAGTCATCGGTCACCTGTCAGAACAGCTCGAGCCACCCTCCTTGGGGTCCCCTCTTCCCACCAGCCCCCGCTTTCCTCCCTCCACATCCAGGAGTGAGGAGCCAGGTCCTCCCCAGCGGACAGCTGCGGCTCCTGCGTGCCCGCCCTGAGGATGCTGGGAACTACTTCTGCATGGCCCAGAATGGCGTGGGCAGCGCCATGGGGAAGACGCGGCTGGTGGTGCAAGGTGGGTGAGGGCCCCCGAGTGGCCCCGCTGGCCGAAGCCTCAGAGACTCTGCCCACTCCCACTGTGGCCCCACAAGGAGCTGAGGGAACTTGTTCTCTCATGCACGTGAACTGGCTTCGGGCGCCCTCCGGCCCGGGAACCTAACTGGACCACCCCCTCATTTCTGCTTGGTAGAGACAGCCTTGTCCGTCCTCCTGCTGCAGACACTGTTTTGTGTGCCCGTCACCACCTCTCTTCCCAGAGACACAGGGCGATCCCAAGGGCGGCGGAGCAGGGCCGGGGCTGGAGTGGCTGTGACCACAGAGGGGTCCCTGGCTGCACCTGTCCTTCCTGACCGCTCTGTCCACTGTGTTCTGTCACTGAATGAGCCCGACACCGAGTGTGCCAGCCGGTGACTGTTGCCCTGCCCCAAATCTCCCCAGTGCCCCCTGTGATCGAGAGTGGCCTCCCAGAGCTGTCCACCACGGAAGGCTCCCATGCCCTCCTGCCCTGTGTGGCCAGGGGCAGCCCTGAGCCCCCACTTGGGACCCACCATAAAATAGTGAGGCTACTCCCTGCAGTGGACGGTGCCGGGAAGGGAGGAGCAATCCCGAGGCTTGCTGGCCCCGTCTGTCCCCTCCAACCTGGCTCCACCCTTGGTGACACTGGCGACACAAGTGCAGGTGGGCAGGGCTTGATGGAGGGAACCAGCAGCCCCAGACACCAGGACCCAGCTTCGGTTCCTGGTAGACTCAGGAATGGTGGAAAGCAACCCTGAGCATCCAACAGGGATCTGAGAATCCCATGAACCTCTGCACTGCTGCATATGACAGAGATGTCCTTGTGCTCTTGTTTTCCTGTGGTTCTGGCTTCCCAAGGTACCTAGCAGGCATCTGCTGCTGGTGCAGTTGATCTGTGAGAGCAGTTACTGAAGACGCGCGTACCTATGTGTTCCTGCCTGTGCCCGTCTCAGGCATCATTAATCAATCACAGCATGATTCCCCCTCAGTTTCAAATTCTTCTCAAAGGCCGGGACATGGAATTTGTTTGTGCTTCCAGTGCATTGACCATACGCAGCCCCTGGAGGCAGAGGCTGGGCAGGACTTGGGGATGGCTTATGGGACTTGAGTCTCCAGGGAATCTTCCTGCTGACCCCTCCGTTAATGTCGCCCCATGCAGAGGCCCCCATCCTACAGGGAGAAGCCTTCTCCCACCTGGAGGAGCCTGTAGGGGGCAGCATCCAGCTAGACTGCACGGTCCGTGGTGACCCAGCCCCTGACATCCGCTGGACCAAAGATGGTCTCCCGCTGTGGGACAGCCGCCTGAGGGTGCAGCATGGCTCACTGACCATCCACAGGACCGAGGCAAGGCGGTGACCCCGGGACAGCCCTGTGCTGCCTCTGACGTCTGGGGAGGGGCCTTTGCAGCCTCCAGAGCATTTCCTTTCCTGTTCTCCCCTGCCCTCCCACCACGGCCAGGGTGGCCTCCAGCCAGTGACTGAGCTGTTCTGAGCCTCCGTCACTCCAGCCGCTTGTTTGGGGCCTGACTTTTCCCGCCTCCTAGGGGAACAGAGAGAAATCAGACGTCCTGTGCCGGCTATCTGGGAGTGGCCTGTGGCTGAGCCCAGAGCTTAGCAGAGGCCGGGAACGGTGCCCCCACTGGACAGATGCAGACCCAGAAGGTCAGAGAGGCACATGACCCGTGTGTGCAGGAGAAAGGAGCCTGCACCAGGCCTCTGAGTCCCCGTCCCTGAGGTTTCCAGGTTGCTGGGCTTGGGCAGCGCCCCCTTCCAAGTTTGGCCTGGATGCAGGTTATCTCAGGGCCTTGGCTCGCTGGGAAGCTGTCGCTGGATACTGACGACAGTGGGGCAGAGGGTAGCGTCCCCGCCTTACACCACACAAGTGTTGTTCCTCTTTTAGACTCACAACAGTCCTAGTGCAGCCGGGCGTGGGTGCAGGCCTGTTATCCCGGCTTTCCAGGACCCTGAGGCAGGAGGATCTTGAGTTTGAGTCCAGCCCAAGCAATTTAGCAATTTAGCAAGGCCCTGTTTCATAAAAAAGAGAAATGGCCAGGGCGGTCACACCATGTGAAGACCCCAGCCGGGTTCAGTCTCCCGTAATGAAAGTAAAGTCGGGACAGGGATTTAGCTCAGTGGTTCTGCTGCCTCCCTCACAAGCACAAAGTCCTGAGTTTGATCCCTGGTACTAAAAAAGTAAAGTCTCAGTGGTCCCCCTTCCCACTGTGGAGATGAGGAAGCTAGTGCTACAGAGACGCATGTGGCAGTCATGGTCCCGTACAGCGATCGTCTGCCTGGGACGGTCTCAGGTTGGCCTGGCCTCTGAGTCTGCTTGGCCCTGGGCTGTGCTGCCGGTGGTGCTGCCTTCTGGATTCACTGGGGCCTGGGCTTGGCCCCGGGCTGCACCGGCTCCCTTTCCGGGTCCGTCCAGTCCTGAGCCCCATCTCCCTGCAGCTGGCCGACGCGGGGCTGTACCAGTGCCTGGCTGAGAACGAGGTGGGCTCCGTGAAGAAACTGGTGACCCTCGTCCTGCAGAGTGAGTCTCACCCTGGGCCTGGGCCTGGACGCTTGTCCCCAGCAAGAGGGGCATGGGGCGGGGGGCGTTGCTCAGGGTCAGCCATGCTGAGGAACAAATGTTTGTTTGGAACCACAACTAACGTCCTGTGAAATGTCACTTAACTGGGGGGGGGGGGGTTAGGCTTGGGGTCCAGTTGCTCACGACTCAAAGCCACCACTGAGGTCCTCATGGTGACACTAAGCGCTCTCTGAACCCCAGGGTAACCCAAGAGAGAGTCTCACCAGGATTTTGTAGAGAACAGTGTGCTGAGACAAACGCACATACGGAGAAGGGATGTGTTACAGCGTCCAGCTCCATAAGCTTTCATAATGGGGACCCACCAAGGTCCGCCCAGCACTGCCCTTCCAAACACCGCCCAGCCAGTAACCGCTCTAAGTTTGCCTGTTTTTATTTTTTTAAATATAGCTTTATTGAGGTATGATTTATATATTGTAAAATTTACCCATTTGCACAGTGGAATATTATACAGCCTTTAAAAGGAACACGGTTCTGAGACCTGCTATAATACAACGTGGATGAGCCTGGAGGACCTTGTGCTGTGGGAAATGAGCCAGGTTTTCTTCTGTGAGGTCCACAGAACAGTCAGATTCAGAGAGGCAGAGAGGGAGGTGGTTGTCAGGGACCGGAGGAGGAGACGTGGGAGCGGCTGTGGTTTCAATGGGTACCGAAGTGGGTTTTGCCACAGGAAAATGTTCTGGTGCTGGGTTGCACAGCAGTGTGACACACTTCACACTGCAAAACCGAGCACTTTCGAAGGGTAACCCTCAAGTTGTGTGCTTTTATCACTGTTCTGGAGGGCAGTGCTGGGGATGGAACCCAGGGCCTCACGCATGCTGGGTGAATGCCGCACCACTGAGCTGCACCCTGACACTGCTACAGAATTTTTAGGCAAAAAAATTCAGAGTATAAGCATATAGCAGATAGGCCAAAGGTGGTGGCGCACGCCTGTGATCTCAGCACTCAGGAGGCTGAGGCGGGAGGATCGCTGCACAGTGAGACTCTGCCTAAAGCCCCTTTCACACAAAAGTAAGACCGTTGATCAACTGGTAGTCAGTGTATAGAGCAACAGAAACATTATCACAGCCCATTTTTAGAAGATTTCTGTCCCTCCGAAAAAATTCCCTTTCCCCCTCCGCCGCCAGTCCTTGCTCCCAGCCCCGACCCGGGCAATGAGTGACAAAGGGTTCTGCCTCTGTAGCGTCACCTGCCCTGCTTGTGTCTCTCTTCTCAGCTCGTACTTGTTACTAGTCCGTGTTTGCTGTTCACCGTGATTTCAGCCCCCGTGGGGAGCTGGAGCGTGGCCGCCCTCCCTCTTCCCTCCGTCTCTTGGTGAAGGGTCTGGGAGGTGCGGTGCATGGAGTCGTGTGAAGCCTTCCGGTTCTGGCGTCTCCCCGCTGTGCTCTTGAGCCGCCCGTGTGCACCGCCCGTCAGGAGGTGTTCGTCTTCACAGCTGAATAGTATTTCAGTGCAAACCTGTGTTCATCCATTTACCAGTTACCAGACACTCTTTCCAAGTCTGGGCCTTTTTTTTTTTTTTTTAAGACAGAGTCTCAGTATGTAGTCCAGGCTGGCCTTGAACTTGCAAAGATTCTCCTGCCTCAGCCTCTCTGAGTTCTGGGACTACAGGTGTGCGCCGCCACACCTGGCTAATTTCTGGCCCACTATAAACAATGCTGCTGTATACATTTGCATGCAAGTGAACTCTAGCTCATAGAGATCCTTCTGCCTCAGCCTCCTGAATGCTGGGATCATAGGTGTGCGCCACCAAGCCTGCAAGTGGATGCTATTTTGGCTGTCACAGTTTCTCTAGTTTGATTTCTGGAATTTTGCTGCTCATGCACAGATACACAATGGGTTTTTATATCTTGGCCTTGTATCCCACAGCCTTACTTAGTTCCTAGTCCCCATCATTTCCTGGTGGGCTCCTAGGGTTTTCTACGTGGAGGACCTTCCGGGTGTAACCAGAGGGTAAGACAGGGTGGCCGTGGCCTGGCCCTCTGTGCGCCCTGACTTCCCACACTCCTGGCGTGGAGCCTTCGGTCCCCAGCATGAGGCGGGGGCCCAGTCTGTCTCCATGGGGCCTGGTGGGAGCCCTCAGTGGGGCAGAGGGGGTTCACTGTGACCCTGGGTGTGTAGGGAGCTTTGTGCTGGGTGAGAAGGGGCTGTGACACACTCACTTCCCCAGGCCCTGTGCTAGGGATGCTAGAGATGGCAATGCCTGGGCCCGAATACTCAGAGCAGAGGAAACTCGCCCGTAGGCCTTGGGACCTGGGCACAGAGTAGTGACCACTCCCTCCTGCCTCCTGGGCTGGGCTCGCGGACCTGGAGACACCAGCGGCTCCCACAAATCATAAAACTGTACGCCTGTTCTCTGCTGCCAGAGGACTAAGAAAAGCACGATCAGCAGGAAAGAAAACCTCCAGAGCGGAACATACTGCTCCAGCTTTCACTGTAGAAAGCACAGCCCCACCCCCGCAGCAGACATTGAGGGGGCCTGCTGGGGAGGGCACCCCTGTGCCGGGCCAGAGGTCACGTAGGGGACCTGGGTGTCCTTGCCCCTTGGCAGCAGTGGTCAGCACCTTCTGAGCAACAGAGGAGGCTGCTAAAGTGGAACATTCATGTAAGGACCGGTCTCAAACCAGGTGTAGTTCACACACCTGTGATTCTAGCCCGCGGGGAGGCTGAGGCAGGAGGATGCAAATTGAACCCAGCCTAGGCAATTGAGGAAGACCTGTCTCAAAAAAACATAGGGAAGTGACTCAGGTAGAAAGCTTGCCGTAAGCCCCAGGAAAGAGAGAGTCAGTTTACAACACTCTAATGGAAATTCACCAGCCAGATCAAGAACGGAAGAAATCTCAGAGGTCACGCAGGAGGGCACGGATATGACTCATCAGGCCAGGATTTAAAAGTCGTCATCATGAAACCACTCCAAGGGGAATTGCGACCGTGCTAGAGACACGAAGAGGTGGTTAGCAAGGGAGCGGGTGGTGTGGCTGCAGCCCCCTCGGCCTCGAGGGCTCCCTGCGGGTGTCACACCCACCGCACTGCAGGGATGGTGGGCGGCCCCTCCACGGGGGGGGGGGCGGGGGGCTCCCTGCTTCCGGTCCGGTTCTCTAGGCTTTTGTCCCGGGCTGGTTTTCCTTCGCAGGGCTGCTTGCTCCTCCCCTGCTGCAGGCCAGCCCTGCCCTAGTAACAGGAGGACAGTTGGTAGGGCGCAGTCCCAGCCAGGAAGGCCAGACTCCCGCTGTTCTTACCCAAAGTCCTGGTTTTTTGGGTTTTTCTTTTGCAGTATGGGGGATGGAACTCAGGACCTTGCTTTGCAAGACAGGTGCAGTGCCACTGAGCTACATCCCAGCCCTCCTAGAAGCTTATGGACAAGGCAGTCTCAATAGGTTGTACCGTTGATTTCTAGATTCCCCAAATTTGAAAATGTACATATAGTTTTTGTTCTTTTGAGACAGGGTCTCCCTATGTGGTCCAGGCTGGGCTGCCACATGGGGCAACCTTCCTGCCTCAGCCTCTTGAGTGCTGGATTATAGGCTTCTGCCGCCACACCCAGCAAAAGAAATTTTTGTAGTGGAATTCCTCTCACCGTGCCTGGTGTTGGATTTCTGCACACACTGTGGGTGGCACCCGTGTGCTGTTCCCGGGCGGCTGGTCGCTGTCCGTTTCTGGCTGTCTCCCCGCCCTGTGGAGATTTCCATCGTCTGTGTCTCAGATCCCAGGGCGGGTGGTTTCCAGGCCAGGGTGATGGTGAAGCAGAGTCACCCGTGAGTGTGAGTCACCAGGGCGCCAGGACGGGGCGGCAGGGTCTGCAGGGAATGCGCCCAGCTCTAGGAAACCTGGCTGCCATGGGTAGGGATTTGGCTCCCAAAGATGGGTCCATGCCTGAAGCCCAGGACCTGGGGACCCAACTTGGACCCGGAATGTGTACAGCCGTGACTGGGTTGGGGACACTGGGATTGGGGGATTCCTCTGGCTGCCCCAAGGGGTTTTAGAAGAGAGAGGAAGCTGGACACACTGGCGCCCGCCTGTCATCCCAGCACTCGGGTTGCTGAGGCAGGAGGGTTGCTGCAAATCCAAGGCTAGCCTGGGCTCCGTAGTGAGGCCCCATCTCAAGCACAAGAGAGAGGGAGACAGAGCCCTGGAGGGAGCGTGACACAGTGGCTTCATCCCAGTGGCACTGGTTGGAGACTTCAGTCCCCCATGTCGCAAGAGCTCACGTCCCGCGGTTCTGACCACCACTTGGGGGTTCGCGACGCCCCCACAGGTAGCTGACTGTTGGACACTTTGCGTGGCGGCCGCCCTTCTGGCCAGTCCTCCTGCGGTGTGAGTCCTGCTGGCCCCACGTCCTCGCCAGTGCTGGGCATTTCCGGGGAGCAGCGAGCCCAGCTCCACCCAGTCCCGAGGTTCCCAGCCCAGGCAGTCCCAGCAGTATCACCTGTGTCACGGGAAGCAACCTAAGTGTCCTCCCACAGGTGCCCCGGTGTTCCAGGTGGAGCCCCAGGACGTCACAGTGAGGACAGGCGAAGACGTGGCCCTGCGGTGCCAGGCCAGCGGGGAGCCCACGCCCACCATTGAGTGGTGGCATGCAGGGCAGCCCTTGCAGGCCAGCCAGCGACTCCGGACCCTGCGGGACGGCAGCCTGAGGCTGGAGCACGTGGAGGCTGCGGATGCCGGGCCCTACGAGTGCATCGCTCACAACCTGCTGGGCTCTGCCACAGCCCAGGCGATCCTAGTTGTAAGAGGTACGGGGCATGGCTGTCCAGGTCTCTGCACACAATTGGGCTCCTTTACTCAGGGGTTTGTGCCTCTCTTTGGGGGGACCCGGCCCACTGTGCTGCCCGTTCCCCAACAATTTGTTTAGTCAAACTCAGAATCAGCCAATGAGGAGGGCCTTGTGGGTTATCTTGGTCTACCCTAGTCACTTGCAGTGGGGAAACTCAGTCTCGGGGCCTGTTTGCCACTCATGTTAGAAAGGGGACCCTGGCTGACTCAGGATATTTCACAGCCTGTGAAGTTGGTAGAGTAAAATAGGAGTGTCCATGGTGCTCCTGAGATTGGGAGATTTCTCTGGTTACCCCGAGGGTTCTTAGAAGAGAAAGCTGGATGTGCTCATATGTGCCATCATCCCAGCACTCGAGAGGCTGAGGCAGGAGGGTTTCTGCAAGTTCTAGGCCGTTCTGGGCTACATAGCAGGACCCCATGATGTGCATATTGGTGGACTAGTGCTTGCCAGGCTTTACGCATGACCTGGCCAGGGAAGTGGGCAGATGGGACCACAGCTCAGAGGTATCACTGACTCTGCTGCCTCAGGATTGTTTCATCAGCTTTCTTCTCCCATGGGTCAGGCTGAAATTTAAAGTTAAAGACATGGGCAATCCTGAGAAACCACGGTAAAGTAATTTGGACCTGAACAAAGGAAAGTCACAGAATAGTGTTTCTAGGTGGTTTATACCCTTTAGCAACAGTTCATAGGTATGGCTTTGTGTCCCTCCCTTCTCCCTGGAAAATATAACCAATTTATAGCAGTGTCAGAATCACTCTCCATAGAACTCTGCCCTAGTCTCTTCCTTAGCAGACATCACCAATCTATCATCTCCACACACAAGGTCAGAATCTCTCTCCATAGAATCCTTCCCCAACCCTGCCCTGGCAGACCTCACCAATCTATCTCCACACAGAAGGTCAGAATCTCTCGCCATAGAACCTTTCTCAGGCACAGAACCCTCCTCTCAACTAACTGGTGTTGGATTTGGCCATCTGTCATTTGAAACCCACTGTCGACCAAATGTGGGGCCTCTCTGGACCCCGATCCCCCATCTCCTACAGTCCAGGGGCAGGATGCGAATGAATGCAGCTCTGGAAGTTCAGCACTGTGCCACTGGCCGGGGACACTCTCGAGAGTGGGAGGGTGGAAGCTCTGGTTCTGAGCGTGGTCCTCCAGTCCTGCTGACCTGCATGTGGCCTCTCAGTTAGCTCTGCAGGCGGGGCTGTCACGCAAAGGGCTGCGTGCAGGGGCTCGAGTAACATACACTGCCTGTGTCCAGCTCTGGAGGCCAGATGGGCAAGGTCAGGGTGCAGGTGGGGTTGGTCCCTTTGGGGGTCTGTGAGGGGCAGACATCACAGCTCCTGGTAACCTGCTGACCATCTATTGCCATGGGGCATTGTCCCTGTGTGTCTATCTCTGAATTTCCCCTTTTTATTATGATTACTACTTATGGTTTTTTGAGACAGGGTCTCGCTATGTAGCCCAGGCTGGACTTGGACTCGTGACAATCCTCCTGCCTCAGCCTCCCAAGTGCTAGGATTACTGGCGTGCACTACCATGCCTGGCTCTTTTTAGGAGGGTACAGGCATACTGGATTCGAGCCCACCCTAATGACCTCACTGTCACTTTATCCTAAGGTCACAGTCAGAGGTCCAGGGTTAGGATTGGAACCTGTGAATTTGGGCAGCATGGCACAGCCTGACCCTCGACAGCCTCCTTATTTTTTGGTGGAAATAGCTACTTCCCCTTTATAGGTGCTAATTGCAGAAAGGCCAGAAAATATAGAAACTTGAGAAGGGAGTAGTAATGAATGAATAATTCAGTTACCAGGAATAGCTTAGGCTGTGATCTGGGGATACAGTCTCCTGCTTTTTCTCCACAATTATCTGTTCTTTTTCGGACAAGGCCTGTTCTCAGGTCATCTTTACAACCTGCTGTGGATAAGGCCACTCTGTCTTGGGTGACGCCCCCCTGTAGCCAGCCAGGGTCCCCGTCTTCTCTGCTGGCTTCATGTTATGGCACAGAAATTATTTATCTGTATTTCTGTCAGGGTTGTTAGACAAGCAACAGATTTTTTTTTTTTCCCAGTTCCTATTGTCAAGACCGAACTGTAGGCCCATCTTGCTGAGGTGGCCTGAATATTTCTACAGGGTAGATTCCTCAAAGGACTTTATTAGGTCAAGTGAGTTTTGGTTTTGGTTTTTGGGTATTGTTTTTATTTTTGTTCTTGTTGTTTTGCAGTCCTGGGGACTGGACCCAAAGCATTCCACTCAGCCACATCGCCAGCCCTTTTCTATTTATGTTTGTCTCGAGACAGGGCCTTGCCAAGTTGTTAAATTACCCAGACTGGGTTTAAATTTGCAATCCTCCTGCCTCAGCCTCTCAGAGTGCTAGGATTATAGGTGTGTGCCACTGTTGCCAGCTAATGAGAATTTTTGAGGCCTCCTGACTATAAACCTGTCTCTCCCTTCCCTGCCTGCTTGTTTCTCCTTCCTGTCAGCCTGATGGGTCCCCGTGCTGACCTCGCTGGGGATGAGGAGCTGCACAGACACCCAGTCCAGGAAGCTAGACGGGGGCTTCCCTTTGCTGTACTCTGGGGTCCTGCACCCTCCCGATCCTGCCGGCTCCATCACCTGCAGCCCCTGGCTCCTTCCTGTCCCCTCATTAGCCCCGAGCTCCCTCCTGTCTCCCCACCCGACCTGGAGCAACAGATTGATACAGGAGGCATCCCAGATGGGTGCAAATTTCATCAGCCCGGGCCCCAGGCCGCAGGAAACGGCCCTCGCCAGCTCCTCATTTGCCCACTTAGGATGCTGGCTGCTGAGTGTTTTCTGTTATTTTTTGACAGATCGTGGGCAGTCGGTTGCTCATGTCTCCTGAGAGCTGGTGGGTGGAAAGTGGACTGAATCCCCCTTGCCCTCTGGAATGCCAGCTGCCCGGCGCTGGCCCATTAGGCAGAGGAAGCCCCCCCACATTAGCGGCAGAGCGGTCCTGGCAGACCGCCTGGCACCGCTAGAAAGCCAGCCTTCCCTGCCAGGCCAGCTGCAGGGCACTGAGCCAGGGCCACCGTTGGAATGGAGGCCTGGAGTGCTGGCACACGGCTCTGCCACAGCACCCGGCCCCCAGTGCCAGCCCCTGCCACCGCGGGCTCCTGGCCTGCAGACGCCAACGGTCTCCTGTGTGTCCCAGGGCTCGCTTCGCATTTCACAGACAAACCTGCTCACTGTGGCGTGGGACCTGGCGTGCCCAGGGCTCGAGGAAGGTGGAGAAGCACATCCGCCCCTGGCACCTCACCCCTGCTGGGTCCTCCACGCAGCCTCGTCTCTCTCAGAGTCAGGACGCCCTGTGCACTGAGTCTGTGACCGTTCGCTGTGTGTCCTTGGGGGTGCACTGTGCCTCTCTGAGCCTTGCCGCTCCCTTCCTGCTTGTCCTGAGGACACCGTGGCTCTTTTGCTTCCTTGAAGGGCACCCCCAGGGGAGCCGGGGCAGCATGCTTGGGGCGATCAACGGCCAGGAGCTCGGCGTAGCAGCTCTCAACACCAGTGTGCGGCAGGAGGCGCATTCCGGAGTCACCATCATCCAGAGCAGCGTCAGCCGCATCCCGGCAGATGTGGGTGAGTGGGACCGGGGTGGCCCCTCCTCGAGGTCCCCTGTCCCGGCCCACGGGGACCCTTCCGCACATGCTGGAACAGGAAGAGCACAGGCCATTCCCAGAGGCTTGCACAGGGCCTGGTACCTAGAGATCTGGCTGCCCCCTAAGTAATCCTAGCTACTTGGTAGGCTGAGGCGGGAGGATTTCCAGTTCGAGGTCAAAGTGGAACAATTAGGAAGGCTGTATCTTCAAATAAATACATAAAAAGATTTGGGGATGTAGCTTGGTGGCATGAACACCTGGCATACATGTATGAGCCCCCAGGCTGGATCCCCAGTACCATACATGCACGCGTGTGCACGCACACACACACACACACACACACACTGATCAGGATTAAGTGGCTGCAGGGACCCAGACAGAGGTGATTGAAGCCACTGGTGCTGTGAAGGGTCACAGAATGGTTACAGCACATGGGGTGCAGGCAGTAGGAAAGCGGGGAGACCCCAGTTAGCTAGGAAGCCCAGGGAAGTGCCCGTTCCTGCACAGACTCAAGCAGGACCAAAGCCCCTGCCGGCCTTGCTGCTGCCCCCTGGGCGGTTCCTCCACAGCGGCCGCAGCCCCAGCCTCACATGCACGCAGTCGGGACTTCGGCTTTGTAGCTCTGAGCCGGCCTGGGCTGTGTCTTCCGCCGTGGGAAGCGTCTGGCCCTGGGCAGCGGCCGGGCTGTGTTCGTGGAGCTGGGGCCACAGGTTCTGCCCATGCGCAGGGCCCCAGCGCCCTCCTGCCAGCATCCCAGGGCCACCGCCACCCCTGGCTCTGAGCGTGGGCAGCGCCCCCGGCCTGGTCTGTGGCCAAATGTCACGTGAAGGCAAAGGGTGCAAGTCTCGGGCGAATTTTCGGCTCTGTTTTCAGAGACAGTGATTTGGGACAATCCTTTCTCTTCTGGGCTCTTCCGGTCGTCATCTACAAACTAGGAAAGGCAGCTTTCAACCCAGCCCAGCAAATGCGAAATGACAGCCTGTAGAGGGCCAGGCTCCGTGGTGACCCGGTGGCCCTTAATCTGTAGAACTGAGTTGAATATCTGCAAATTATACTTATTTCTTCATACCAAATCACTCGTTTTCACAACTACTTCATGAAGACATGTTTGTCTTTGCCATTTCCCAGGTTCCGGGTAAATAGGGCAAGTAGCACCACAGCTGTGCACAAGCAGGGAGAGAAAGGGCTGCGCTGTCCTGGGGGCAGTGGGTAGCTACAGAGGGCTCTTGAGCAGGAGAGTGCCTACCCTGAACATCCAGCCCTAACCTAGCCTCTGCCCTACCCTGTCCAGGGCCTCTGATGCGGGTGCTGGTGGTCACCATCGCCCCCATCTACTGGGCCCTGGCCGGAGAGACTGGGGAGGCACTGAATGGCCACTCTCTGACGGGTGGCAGCTTCCAGCAGGAGTCACAGGTGGAGTTTGCTACAGGTGAGCAGGGTTCCCCTGAGGGGACAGGAGGCTAGGATGGGCCCCGGGCCATGCCCGGAGGTGACCCTGGCTGGGTGGGGCTGGATTGCAGGGGAGCTGCTCAGGATGACCCACGTGGCTCGGGGCCTGGACCCTGACGGGTTCCTGCTCCTGGACGTGCTAGTGGATGGCGCTGTCCCCGAGGCCCTGGCAGGCGAGGACCTCCACATGCAGGTGGGGCACAGCCCAGATGGGCAGAGCAAGGCGTGCCAGCCTGGTCCCCCAAGCACCAGTCCCTTCCTTCCCAGCCCTCCTGGGGCTGCCCAGTGTCTGCGGGAAGCGGGGGCTGCTGGCCCGGGGCTCCCCAGCATCCATCCCCTGGGCTGCGCAGCTTAGGAGTGGAAACCACCCTCCTCCTCCGCCTCCCCAGGACTTCGAGGAGCGCTATGTGCAGACGGGGCCCGGCCAGCTCTTCGCGGGCTCCACACAGCGCTTCCTCCACCGCCACCTCCCGGGGCTCCTGCGCTGCAACCACAGCATCCAGTACGCAGCGGCTCGGGGCCCCCAGCCCCAGCTGGTGCAGCACCTGCGGGCCTCGGCTATCAGCTCGGCCTTCGACCCCGAGGCCCAGGCCCTGCGCTACCAGCTGACCACAGCCCTGCGAGCGGGTGAGGCCCCATCCTTCACCTCCACCCCCGCTGCTCCTGCCACGACCGGCCAGGGTCAGGGGCTCAGACCTGGAGCCTGTGCTGCTCCTCCAGCCACCACCAGTGCCCGTGTCCCTTCCTGTCACAAGTGCCGACCCTCTAGGGCCCCCAGGTGGACGTCCAGCAGCAGGCTGACCTGCAAAGCCCAGACGCAACCCAGCTCTTCTCCCGAGGGTGCTGTGCAGAGCTCCCCACCCGGTGACCCCAGGGCCCTACGGCCTCATCCCAAGCCCCACCCCTGCCGAAGAGGGGCAGTGCAGTGCTGTGGCCATGCAGACCCTGTCCCTGACCCACCTGCACCACTTTCTGGCTAGGCAGCCCTGGGGACAGCATCCGGGTCTCCGTCTAGGGGTTCCCATTAGCACAGTGAGCGGCGGGGCCTGCCCAGTAGGCAGCCGCCTCTACAGCCCCATCCGAGCTCCCTGTGCCCTGTTCCAGCGTGGCTCTCCTTAGGGTTACCCAGGAGGTGGCTTCATCTGATCTCCAGAACCCGGTCCCCTGCCGCAGCCTCTGCCAGTGCCTTTGTTCTTGTGGTTGGCCCTATGCCCGCCTTCCGTGCCCAGCTGCTGGGTCCTCGGGACTGCAGTTTGGACACGGCCCCTGCTTTCTACTTTAGTGCTTTCTCCCGAGTCCGCCCGGTAATGTGCCGGCGGCCCCTGCATGCGACCAGGCGCGCGTCCTGTGTGGCCCATCCCCCCCAACGGGCCTGACGGAACCAGGCCCCTGCCTCACTGGCTCAGGACAGGGCGGGGCTGTGACCCAGGCCACCAGTGCACTCAGAGTCTGTCCCTTGCTTTGCAGAAGAGCACGAGGTGGGCTGCTCTGAGGGCTTTGAGCCGGACCCCCAAGGGGCGTTTTGTGTGGGTGAGCAGCTCCCCTCCCTGGGCAGGGGCACACACTGCCACCGCCAGCTGGCAGGAGGGTCCGTGGGCAAGGACCACAGCTCTGAGCTCTGCCCCTCCACAGACCGACGAGTGTGCGGGCAGCCCCCGGCCCTGCTCCCTCTCCTGTCACAGTGCTCTGGGCTGCTGCTCCCGCCCAGGCCCGAGAGGGACTGCAGAAGTGAGGGCCGGGGGTGGGGTGAGTCAGTGGCGGGAGGACTGGGGACCTCCATGCGGGGCTCTGGGCCCTCCTGGCCCGGACCCAGCTCCTGTGTGCAGGCTGGGCTGGGGTCAGGGTGCGGGGAGGCCCGGGTCCATGTGCTCACGCTGCCCCTGCCCCGTCTGTCCCCAGATGTGGACGAGTGTGCGTGGGACACCGGCCTCTGCGGAGAGCAGCAGCGCTGTGTGAACCTGCTCGGGGCCTACCGCTGCTGTCCTGACTGTGGGCCCGGCTTCCGGGTGGCAGCCGACGGGGCCGGCTGTGAAGGTGACAGGCGCAGGGAGGCCAGGACACCCTCCCAGGACACCAGGGACCGCTGTCTCGACAGACGGGGCTGCATGTGTCTCGGGGATGCTGGGCTCCTCGGGGACTGGAAGGAACCCTTGGCAGAAGGAAGGAGCACGTGGGGCCGGGAGAGCTGGCCCCGAGGTCTGGGTCCTGGCCCGGCCCAGTCCCGGCAGCTCTCAGGGCCCTTGGTCCCGTGTTTGTGGGGGGCCGGGGACGCTGCTCCCGTGCATCACGGCTCGGCCCAGCAACAGCCTCAGAACCCTCTCAACCCGGCTTCCCTGCAGCCACCACTGATCGGGGCTGCTGAGCCCTGAGTACCCCCCACGGTGCCCCTGGGTCCTTTCCACGGCTCCTCAGAGACAGGGCGGCCATGGCAGGGCCTCGGCGCTCCGAGGTTCAGGGCTCTGCTCCCCACTGCTGCACGGCCCCCGCCCTCCTTCCTTTCTTCCCTAGCTCTCTCCTGCACACCCTGCCCGACCCTGCAAAGCCACCTTCCAGTTCTGTCCTCACACGACCCCAAGAACACAGCCTGTCCCTAGCCCTTTTACGGATGAAGAAACTGAGGCCCAGAGAGCGAGGACTAGAACCCAGACCCTCCATAGCCTGCCTTTGAAGCCCTTTCCTTCCTGTGGTCCCGGAACCCCGCTGCCCTCCAGCCTGGTGTCCCTGGGGCGGCAGTGCGGATGCCCTTGCACACTCCAGTGGCTGTGTGCTGGGAGGAGGCGGCGGGGTGAGTCTGGGAAGTGGAGGTGACGACCCTCGGCTAAGCCCCGCCCCTGACTCCGCAGATGTGGACGAATGCAGGGAGCAGCTGCACGGCTGTCACCACAGCCAGCTCTGCGAGAACACGGCGGGGGGGCACCGCTGCAGCTGCCCCCGGGGGTACCGGACCCAGGGCGCCGGCCTGCCCTGCCTAGGTAGGGACACCGGGCCCTCGCTGGGCCCTAGTGGGGGCCCCTGGCCCTCGGGCAGTGGTGTTTATGGCCAAGGTGCTGGTGACTTCGGAGACCTAGCAGGTCCTGGACCTGTGCTGTGTCCTTCAGGCCACCTTCCCTAGAGGTCGGGAGGGCAGGCAGGTGGTGTCAATGGGGTGGACCCCAGAGAGGTGCAGAGAGCAGAAGGAACCCAAGTGACCAGCCAGGGCAGTGGGACTGGGCAGCTGGGGAGGAGGCCTCTGCACACCGACAGAGCCAAGGGGAGACTGGTGGCACCACAGAGGGCTGGTGCAGGGGCAGCCTGTGCAGCGTGTGAGGCTCAGAGGTCCAGGGAGGCATAAGCAATAGGCCCTGAGCTGCCTTGGGCACCACCTGGCCTTTCTCTCTGCAGACGTCAATGAGTGCCTGCAGCTGCCTGAGCCCTGTGCCTACCAATGCCACAACCTCCAGGGTGGCTACCGCTGTCTGTGCCCGCCGGGCCACATCCTCCTCCATGACGGCAAGGCCTGTACGCCACTCAGCCGGAGCAGACAGAATGTGACCACCGTCAGCCACCAGGGCCCCTTGGTGCCCTGGCTGCGGCCCCGGAGCCCTGTCCCTGGTGGCTCTCACCATGCCTGGGTCTCCCTGCGGCCGGGACCCAGAGCCCTGAGCAGTGTGGGCCGGGCCTGGTGTCCGCCAGGCTTCATACGGCAGAGTGGCGTCTGCGTGGGTAAGGCCAGGCCCTGCCACCCACAGGAACACACCCTGGGGTTCACTTGGGCCCCCGGGCTGGGTAGGAGGCACCCCTGAGAGCTCATAGGCAAAGGGGTGGCTGGTGGGGCCAAGGCTGGCTTCCTTCTTGTGGGGCATCTCCACTGCGCTAAGGGGCAGGGGGCTCCGGCTCCAGGAGGGAAGGGACTGTTCTGACTTCCAGACGGCGGCAACCAGAAAGGGTCTCGCAGTGTGTTCCTAGGAACCCATTTGAGAAATGCTCCATGTGGTACTTGGGTGAAGCAGTCGGGGCAGAGGGTGCTGTTCCAGGACTGAGGGTGGCAGAGGGGGGTGAAGTGGAGGTGGCTCTGCCTGGCTCGTGGTGACAGAGGCTGAGGCAGGCGGTGTCTGCACGGTCGCCAAGCCCAGGGACTCCTCCAGTTCCTGCATCCAGAGCTGGGTGCGGCTGGGCCAGTGGGTGGGCGGCACGAGGCCCCGGGCGCAGGTGTGATGCAGCTGCTCTCCCCGTCCCCACCAGACCTGGACGAGTGCCAGGTGCAGAGCCTGTGCCAGCATGCCTGCCAGAACTCTGAGGGCAGCTACCAGTGCCTCTGTCCCGCCGGCTACCGCCTCCTGCCCAGCGGGAAGAACTGCCAGGGTGAGTAGGCAGTGCGCGATGCCGCGGGCTTACCCGTCTGCAGCAGGGTCCTGGTACCGGCCTGGTGTCCCTGCGAGACGGGCTGACCCCGGCTGTGCGTCCCGACACCGCTCTGGCCTCAGCCTCAGCGTCCTTCCTGGCGAAGGGGGCTCACCCAGCGCCCTCCAGCTGCGGGAGGGGGACACAGCTGCTGCCAGTGGCTGGCTCTCACCTTCCCAGTGCTTCCCACCTGCGGATCTAGAGTCGGGGGGTCCTCTGGGGGCGGGGGGACCTGGTGTGCTGCCCACAGGCTGCGGGTACCCCAGGTGGGAGGTGCAGCCGGCGCCCAGTGCAGCCCCCTCCCACAGGGCCACCATGGTGCCCTCCAAGGCCAGCCCCTGGGACAGTGGGGGTGCCGGGGTCTCTGAGTCAGGCAGAGGCCAGGCTGGCTGAGGACGAGGGCGGGGTGCGTCCTGGCCGGTTGGGGAAGGCCTTTCTCTCCCACCTCCTCCCGGCACTGGCCTTCTCTGGTTTCCTCCTTCACCCACCTCTGCCACCCAGACATCAACGAGTGTGAGGAGGACGCCATCGAGTGTGAGCCGGGCCAGATGTGCTTCAACACCCGAGGCGGCTTCCAGTGTGTGGACACGCCCTGCCCCGACTCCTACCGGCTGGGCGCCAGCCCCGGGTGAGGCGGGGTTGGGACCTTTCCTGCCAGGAGCCAGCTCCTGCTCTGCTCTGCTCCTGTAGGCCCTGCATAGGCCTGGCTGCTGCTCCCAGCACGGTGACGCGGCTGGTGGAGTCGGGAGAGAACAGGGGACACAAACACACAACCTGGGCCCAGACACAGAAACCAGGGGTGCGCCCCAAACCTCAGAACTCGGGCACAAGAGCACACGGCATTTCCTCCATGCCACTCACAGGGGCGTGGAATCTCACACAGAGAGGCAGAGCCGGGAGCCAGCCACGCCATGACCCCAGCAATGAGGGAGGCTGAGGCAGGAGGGTCAGGAGTGCACACCAGCCTGGGCAAGTTAGCAAGACCTAGTCTCAAAAAAATAAAAAAGGACTGGAGATGCAGCTCGGTGGTACAGTGTCTCTGGGTTTGATCCCCAGCACCACAAAAAATAAAGTCTATAAAAAAGCACAGGAACTTGAAGTCCGGAGCCAGGAGCTCCGGAGGGGCAGCTTCCCAGAGGCTGTGCCGGGACCTTACAAACCCGGAGCCCCGGCAGGGCCTAACTCGCGTCTCTGGGCCTCTGCCTGCGCTCTGCAGACGGAGCTGTGACTCAGCCGCCGGGCCTGGGGGGGCTCTGGCTGTGTCGTCGGCCGGCCGGGCCGGGCCAGGACTTGGGC